AAACTTACTTTTCAGATATACTTTCAAGCGACCGGCCGAGGTCCGCATCTGCTTAAGGAGACTTTTCTCCTGGTCAGGCGGCAATTTGCGGAATTTGGTATACGCAGACACGATTTGCCGACTCTAGATGTGGTTATGCCGCAAATTTACCGCCTTAACCTGCAGATGACCCTCGCGCAAAACGGCCGAAAAACGGGCCGTGCAGCCGAACTTCAGTGACCTAAATCGTTCGAAAACCCGTACAAGAAACGTACGTAGACTTTGTTTTGGAGCTACAACTGCGAAACTGTCCGGAATGACAGCAAACAAAATAGACGTAGCGGTACTTCAAACGGTCTACGCGTGGATGATCCATCGGCAGTTTACGACTCAGGCGTCGTTTGACGTTGTATGGGAAGCCAGCAAATTAAAAGAACCATTATTACCGTTTACCTTCTCGTATTCACTGACAGCGGACATAAGGGCGTCAAAACTTTCGTAGACTCCGCTGCCCATTATTCGCTGAAACAGGAAGCACAGGATGCTCGTTTGTTCCCGAGCTGCAATGAACGTTTTAATGAGTTTCATGTCTTTACTTTTGGGCAAAGAAGTGCGTAGTATGCGGAAATCATTTCGCTGCGGGGCTAGAATTATTTGCTTAGGTTGCGTGGGCTTAACAGGGACAGGCTCGTGTGTATGTTCCGTCCTGAATGACGTTACTATAAGGACTCCTCGCTTCTGAAACATTACGTTGAAGAATGCACTAAAACCCACGCGTCCTATAAGCAGTTAATACATAGCAAACATTAGGTAAGACATACTTCGCAGTTGAAGCCAGTATGCACACATATTTGTGGCTGTAAATAACAAACCTGTTCGCATTAGGGCTGCCAGCTGTAACTTTACGAGTACTAACCGCCTTAACACGACAACCGGTTTCCTAAATACGACTTAGTACAACAAATACAATAATAACCTGACTAAAACTCCCAACTGCCTCTTCTAATGCATCGTAGGATGCAAATTCTTGGCCGCATAAAATGGTGCGAAAAGCCTCTGACACACGACCATCAGTTGCCATCGTTTGCGCA